GCGGGGCGGGGCTCGGCACAACCAGCTTTAAGACAGAGGTGGCTGTGCACAGAAAAGGTATTTCCTGTTAAGACTTATAGCAAGGCCAACGGCACAACGATTTGAAGAAAACCGGATGATCGAAATATAAAGATGGTTTTCCCTGCCATCGGTGAATCTATTTTGAAAATTTTCTTGCCTTTGTTGTCAACAAATGCTAAGGGAGTGTGTATCAATGGATATTAAAGCTGCATTTCTTCAAGGAGATCAGCTTAAGAGGAAATGTGTTTCTTCGCCCCCAAGAAGACACTAATTGTAACCAGGACATTCTGGAAGTTAAATATGTATATGGCCTAAGTGATGCTTCTAGAGTTTGGTACTTCTCATTAAAGTTATTAAAATTGGGTTTTCTTCAGTTATTTTCGTGGCACCATAATGAGCTGTATTCAAACACCTTTTTGATGCACATACATTAATTATATTTTGCCAAATGTGAGTAGTGAACTTGAAAATATTGTTGTAAATAGGCTTAAAGCAAAATTCAAAGTTGGAAGTCAGGCTTCTAGGCTATTGAGTAAATTGGATTAGAAATCGGGCAAAATGGATCAAATGTCACTTTGCATCAGCAATTGTATTTGGAAAATTGTTAGCCCCATTACTATTCCAGCTAGGGCCTAATAAAAACATGTAGTGAAATGGGGGAATTGCCAAGTCTAATTGAACAGCTAAGTGTCTGGGCACCCAAATAAGGCCAGATGCCTATTTTGAGTATTAGAGTTGAGGACAACCAATGAATATTCTCAAGATGGAAGATATTATTCGGGTGAACAAAACATTGAAGAAAATTAAAAATGGATTTTGTGTTTTAAAATATGCATTATTGGGAAGGAAGCTTGTTGATTTCAGTAATGCTTCTTGCACAAACTTCTGTGATGGGATCTCAAGCGCAGGAGAGTCTTATCATCTGTCTTTTGCGAAAGGGAGGTAAATGTTGCTGTCTAGCTTGGGGACCTAAGAATATCAGAAACGTAATAAAACTACCTTAGCAGCTGAAATTCTTGGTGAGTTGATAGACATAACATTTTCATCAGCAAAATATTAGAAAAAATTCTTAAAAAGGGATTCAGCAGCATACTCATTGAGAGATACATTGATAAGTCAGCATGGGGTAACTTACTTTCAATGAAATGTGTGACTGACAAAAGATTGAGGATTGATTACTGCTGTTTTGAAATGCCGGAGAATGGAGATATCTCCAAATTGAAATAGGTAGATAGCAGCAATCAGCTTTTTGTTCACTTACAGAATGTGGATGTCAATGACTAGGCCAGTATTTACTACCCATTCCTAATTGCTCAGAGGGCAGTTAAATGTCAGCCACATTGCTGTGGGTCTGCAGTCACATGTAGGGCAGACCAGATGAGGACATCGGATTCCTTCCCTAAAGCACATTAGTGAACCAGATGAGTTTTCTGACAATCGACAGTGGTTTCATGGTCACCATTAGGCTCCTGATTCCAGACATTTATTGAATTCAAGTTCCACTATCTGCCACAGTAGGGATCAAACCCACAATCCCAGAAAATTACCAGGGTCTCTGGATTAATAATCTAGCAATAATACCACTGATTGATTGTTTTAGTAGGAAATTGTTGGACGTACCGGGAACAAGACACTTTGAGTAACGAAAAGGAATATTATTTTTTAAATTATATATAGCTTCTTTTGAAAAGAAAGAGGATATCTGTTATCATCTAATATTGTCTGAAGGAATGTCTCACACCAAAGTGGAATGAGGGAACAAGTGATAGATGTACTAAATTGAGGGTTGGTTGTATAAAAATGTGGAGCTAGTAATTCGTGGAGTGTGAATTTTATGGAGCGTGGTTACCTGAAATAAAACTCAATAGAAGTGTGGGTTTGGACTGTGGTTTCTTTTTTAAAAAAAAAAAAAAAGTTGTCTTCTCGTGTATACCAATTATCAGTTTAAAAATATTGGGTACATCAATATCTGAAAAATTGTAATTTGAATTGACTGTTGTTCAACCAGTAGCAAGTATTCCTACTTATTATCTTTGTCTTACTTCCTATTTTTAATCGGCCTGGATTCCATGTTACTATCTACTCAAAAGGCCTAAAGTTTATTTTCAAAATCAGATCCACATGTAGTAAAAATTAAGTATTGAAGTGACTAAATAGACCACTTAACTGTCATGCCCTTGCATGCCGCAAAGCCGATGGCTGGCTATGTTTTGATGACCCTTTGTACTGTTTCGATTATGGTATTGACTTAAGGTTGGTATTGAAGGTGGACTTTGCTCCTTTTTAAAAAAACAAAGGAAACATTATCATAGCTATATTACATATTTATTTCATTTATTGATGCTATGATTAAAGTTTGTGTATAATGTTCCTAGTTGTGGGAATGATGGGACTAAATGATGTTAGTGTTACAAATGCTGACAAAGTAATTGGTAGGAATTTTCCAATTAAGATTCCATGTCTAAGAAATTAAATGAAATACATTTGGCAAGTGATTTCTGCTGTGAATTTTTTTCATCATTCCAGAACCTTTTGTAGAGACCATGCCATTTTGAATACCAAAATGTACCAGATAGATGCAGCATACCCTGTCCATGTTAAGAAAAGATTTCTTTTATTCTCTGTTTAATAGACTTAACTCCTGACTATATCTGGATTGTCTATAACACATTTTATTTGAAAGTACAATCTCTTGAAATTCCAAATTTAATTGATTTTTATATGTAAACAGGTTTAAATTAGGTGTCATTTTGTAAATGTTGACTGCTTATAGCTTCTGAGCCTCCATGGTTAGCCAGAAACAATACAGATATGCACTGTCAAATCCAGCAGCCCCAGGACCAAGGCCATGCTGCATTTTGGAGCTAACTGGTTTTCAAAAAAAAACTGGACATCTTACTCTAGCGAATAAGGAATACAGGAAAACCAATGATGATATGATTCCATAACACTTCAGGTTAATGGACGTGTCACTGTTGATATTAATTCACTTCTCCAACATTGGGTTTAATAACTATTCATGCCTCCCCTACCTCTTTACATCAATATAACCTGTCTAAAATGAGAAAAGATTCATCACAAAGTGTGGCGTTTTTTTGGTAGCTGGATTTGAGTGAATCTGTAAATGTTTGTATTGATCATTTATTACTAAAATGCCACATAATTTCTTAACAATTGAAGGGATTTTTTACACATCTAAATGTTTTTAAAATGACAGCTTTTCTTAATTTTACGAAATCCAGTTAATAGAATATTACACACTAATTTTAACCATTGAGGACCTCTGGTTGACAAATGTAATGTAGCTAAAGACTATAACAACACATAATAGTGTCTTCATGTCTTATTTGGCATTTATGTATGTTCTGATTGCCATTGTGGTCTGATTTCTTATCTCAACTAGAGCAAATATGGTGTTTTTCTTTCTCCAACAGCTGGATGATGACTCATTGAAACACATACAGGTTCACTGTCCAGAACTAGTAACACTTAATTTGCAGGCATGTTCAGTAAGTATTTATTGTTTTACTTTGTAGTTGAATTGTATATTATCTGGTTTTAGTTGTTTATATTTGAGCGATTTACTTTTGAGATCCTGGTTTGTAAGAACATGGCACTTTATGTAATATAGACAATGCGGGACAACCATCAATGCTTATGACTTTTATTACATTTTTGATTAAAAATCCATGGATCTCCATTTTTGTCCATAATTACCATTATTTAGTGTCAAATTTATGCCGCCTTAGCTTTGTGGGATGTGGGAGAAAGGGAGATTAAGTGATAAAGTTCACTTTTGTGTTCAGAATTGAGCATGTATAAATTATATGAAAATGCAAGAAAATTAAATGTATTTTTTGCCTTCCTCCTTTTTGGTTGCAGCTACATTACTCCCAAATTCTTGGCTTACAGTGAGGTAGCTAGTTTGCATGTTTAGGCTAGAATTGCTTCGCAATCAGCCAGTGGAATGTGCAGAAGAGTGGTTGGGATGAAATACCTAAAAGTTTCCCCGCTTTTCTCATGTAGTACGATTTCAACTGTCTTTTCTCATATAACAAACTAATATTATGACATAATTGTTTCTTTGTTTTGTTCTTGATGATTAAATTCAACTTGAGTTTAATTGCAATTTGGTTCTATTATGGTTATGTTGGTAATAGATGAAGAACAAAAATGTTTTTACATTATTTGACATCTCCAACTTACTAGTTTTTTGGTAGATCCACAACAATATAAGCCATAAAACAGATCTTCCCCATGTTTCCTTAATACTTTTTAACCACTTGAATATTTAACATAGTCTCTGTTCGATTAGGGTAGCTACTTTTCTTTGCTGCATGTCTAATTGATTTTGGTATTTTTCATAAGTGTTTCAAAATTATTTATTGGAACACTGCCTACAGTGAATAATAATGACTTTGCTTCAACTTTCTAAAAATAACATTATCACTAATACTATGTTCTTAAATTATGGGACCATCACTGCGGAGTTCTGTTGGGGTCAAGTGTTAGGACCACAACTATTATGCATTAACAATCTGGATGAAAGAACTGAGGGCATTGTTGCTAAGTTTGCAGATGACACAAAGATAGGTGGAATGACCGATGGTGTTGAGGAGGGTGCAGAAGTACTTGGACAGGCTAGGAGAGTGGGTACAGAAGTAGCAGATGGAATACAATGTGAGAAAGTGTGAGGTTGTGCACTTTGGTAGGAAGAATGAAGGTGTGTAGACTATTTTCTAAATGGGGAAAGGCTTCGGAAATCTGAAGCACAAATGGGCTTGGGAATCCTTGTTCAGCATTCGCTTAAGGTTAACGTGCCAGTTCGTTTGGTAGTTTGCATCTTTCTTCCTATGTTAACATTCATTTTAAAAGGGCTAGAATACAAGGGCGGGGATGTACTGCTGAGGCTATTTAAGGTTCTGGTTAGACCACATTTGGAATATTGTGAGCAGTTTTGACTCCAATCTTAACGAAAGATATGCTGATATTGGAAAGAATCTACAGGAGGTTTAGAAGAATGATCCTGGGGATGAAGAGCTTGTCATATGAGGAGCAGTTGAGGACTCTGAATTTGTACACGATGGAGTTCAGAAGGATGATGGGGATCTCATTGAGCCTTGTAGAATACTGAGAGGCCTGGATGGAGTGGATGTGGAGAAGATGTCTCCACTAGTAGGAGAGACTAGGACCCGTGGATACAACCTCAGTGAAGGCATGATCCTTTAGAACTGAAAAAGGGAGGAATTTCTTCAGCTGGAGGGTGGCGAATCTTTAGAAGCCATTGCCACAATGAAGGCTGTGGATGCCAAGTCATTGATTAGTAAGGGGATCAAAGGTTACAGAGAGAAGGCAGGAGAATGGCATTGAGAAATACATCACCCGTGATCAAATGGTAAAGTTGACCTGATGGGCCAAATGGCTTAATTCTGGTCTTGTCTTACGTTTTTACGGTCTTGTGTTTAAAACATTGCAAGACATTTCCCTGGCTGTGATGCCATTGGTCGCGAATATTAAACCTAGTCAAATTTACCTGTGCCATTACATGCTATCTTGCAAGCGTGAACTCCTCAGGATTGACTACTGCTGTAGAATCCTACATAAAACCACCCTCGACTTCTGTATCACCACAAATAATTTCTACAGATTCCTCACTTCTTCATGTGCTGTCATGAGCATTGCAGCCTGCGGGATAACTTATCCCGTTTCTGTAATTGTTGAATTCCAGTGATCAAGAAAATTGCCACTGCTCCACCTCCCAGCTCCAGATTTGGAGTAGAAATCAATGAAAACAAGAATGATGCCCACTCTTCTTTGCAATTCCTTAGCATGAAGCAAGAATATCCATAACCCAAATGTGGTCATTGTAGAATTTATGTCATTGATTAATGGCCTTGCAGTTATCACTGTTAACTTTTGCCTCCTTTCTTTGGATCACAGCCAAAGAAGGATGGCCAAATGAGCAGTAATAACTTCCAAGACAGATCAAATTGTAGTGCACATTGAACACGAGTTAAGTATTTTTATTCATCTTCCACCTCTTATTTAGCAGTAAGTTGTCAGGTGCTATGCTGAGACTGCAGTGATGATGATCCATCCCAGTCAAGTATCAGCTCAAATTTTCAACCTGGAACTGGCCAGTTTTTGATAGCCTGGCTTTCAAGAGGCATTCCATCTGTAAGGCACATCTTTCAGTACTGAATGATGATGCTTTAAGGTTAACCACAAATTATTCTTGATTCTGTTGAATTGCTACGGACAGAACCGATTTTTATTCAATTTGTAGGTAATCTGACATTCCAAATCAGTTAATGACCCATAATTTTGTTTGCCTCCAAAGCAAATCACAGATGAAGGATTAGTAAGCGTTTGCAGAGGCTGCCATAAACTCCAGTTCCTGTGTGTGTCTGGATGTGGAAACATTACAGATGCTTCTATAACAGCATTGGGATTGAATTGTCCTAGACTAAAGTGAGTAAAGCAGATCTGAAGTTCAACTTTATTGAAACTCCCTGATATTGAACATGTCATAACTATCAAGTAGTTGCAATAACTGCTTATATTTACACGCTACCTTAATGTAACAGAACATCTCAAGCACTTCACATTTGGGTGTCTGATCCCATGTTCAAGGGTGGAAAAATTCAGTTTCTGTCCATTTTGATACAACTTCTTTGGAAAAACGTAGGATTTAATTGAGTTATAACTCGTGGAATAAAAGTGACAGTAAATAACAACAGGGTTATTAATTTGGCTGTGTGATAGGAAACAGTAATGGCCAATGGATTTTTTTAAGGCTGGAGGAAGAATTTTGTGTGGTTCCCAGGTGATCAGTATTGGAATCCTTGCTTTTCTTGATTTATGCTAATAATCTCAGGGTGATACAAAACTTGGGAAACGTTGTAAATTGAGAGAAAGATAGTGTATAATTTCAGAAGGATTTTGGTAAGTTGGTCAAATGGACAGATGGATGGCAGAAGTTCAATGTGGTAAAGTGTGAGGTGATATACTTTTGGTAGGAAGAACAAGAAGCAACAGTATAACTATTATTCTCATGGATGTACAGGAGAAGAGAGACCTGGATGAATGTGTGCATAGGTCATTAAATGTGGTAATTCAGGTGGAGAGTGTGATTAGTAAAGAAAGCAGTATGCTAGGCTGCCTTGATAGAGCAAGGAAGTTGTACTGAACTATTGAAAACACTCCATTGGATTGTTGCGGATAGTACTGGGCTCTACACTGGAAAAGTTGAGTGCAGTGGAGAGAGTGCAGAAGAGATTCACAAGAATGGTTTCAGAGGTGAGAAACTTCAGTTATGAGGATAGATTTGAGAGTTGGGACTGCATTCTTTGGAGAAGCGATGGTTAAAAGATTTGATGTTTTTTTATATTGAGGGGCCTGGACAGAATCATAGAATCTCTACAGTGTGGAAGCAGGCCATTCAGGCCATTGAGTCTATACCAACCCTTTGAAAAGCATACTAGCCAGACCCCTCCCTAGACCCTATCCCCATAACTGTTTACTTAATACTGCTCATTTGGCCATCCTTCTTTGGCTGTGATTTAAAGAAAGGAGACAGAAGTTAACAGTGATAATTGCATAGCTAATCATAGAATCCCTACAATGTGGAAACAGACTCTTCGGCCCAACAAGTCCACACCGACCCTCAGAGCATCCCACCCAGACCCATCCCGCTATAACCCACCTAATCTACACATCCCCGAACACTATGGGCAATTTAGCATGGCCAATCCACCTAGCCCGTACATCTTTGGATGTGGGAGGAAACCGGAGCACCTGTAGGAAACCCACGCAAACACGGGAAGAATGTGCAAACTCCACATGGATAGTCGCCAGAGGGTGGATTGGAAGATGGGTCGCTGGCGCTATGAGGCAGCTGTACTAACCACTGAGCCACTGTACCGCCCCTGTCTAATCTACCTAGCCTGCACATCCCTGGACACTAGGGGCAATTTAGCATGGCCAAACCATCTAATCTGTACATCTTTAGACTAGGCAGCCCAATAGCCCATCTGGAATAGATGGAGAGAAAGTGCTTCTGCTCATTGAAAGGATCACAAGCAAGAGGGTACAAGTTTAAAGTGATTTGGAAAAAGAAGTAATGTATTATGAAAATAAATACTTTTTCTCAAAGGGTCTAGAACTCACTGCTGGCAGTGTGATAGAGACAGACTTAGTCAACATACAAGAGGACATTAAGTGATTATTTGAACAGAAGTGAAATAGAGTTATGGGGAAAAGACGGGTAAGTGGCAATAAGGAATGGTGCTCATTTGTAGAGCCAGTGCAGATGTAATGGACCAAATGGCTACCTTCTGCACCATAACAATGCTATGTTCAGTCTGCATTTAGTATATACTGTCCAGTTGATCACATAACTGGGATGATTGTACCTCGATATGCAGAAATGAGATAAGATTTTGTTTATTCAGCATTAGAGTTGAGAAAAGGATAGTTAAGTCACATACTTTGGAAAATATAAGTAGTGGAGGTGACCTAATTGAAGTTTTCAGAATCATAAAAAGAATTAACAAGGTTATATCTAGCAAGTTAATGGAAGGAGGATAAGTTTTAAAAAGAAAGCCAGAATAAGGAGCAAATTATGGAATCTTCTCCAAAAGGTGCTATTTTATGCATTAATGTGGTCAATTGTAGACATGGAGAATTAACTGCATTTACCTGTGCCCCTGTGAATACCTGCTGACTTAAACTGTGGTTGTTGAAGTTGGGAGGTACTGTCTTACAATCTATGATTTTGGAAATGAATGTTAGTAAGTGAGTAAAGATTGTTTCAGTGATTTCTTCATCTGTCTTTCTGAAATGTTATAAAGTGCAATATGGAACAAAGACTTCAGAGATCATTGGAATGTACTGCAAATGGGAGAGAGAACAACTATTATTAAGTAGAGAGGAATGACGAGTGGACAGGATTTAAATTAACCAAAATATGCAAGCTTATTGGTTAAACCGAAAGGATTTTCATGTTGCTGAATAAAATTGTGTGAATGTTTAAGTTTAGCCACTTTTAAAAATGGTAAAAGTTATTTTAACAAGGGAAGATGTGTGTAGATTTGGTAACATTAGCATTTAGAATAAATTGTTGATGTTTGCATCAGGCATATAACTACAGAAGTGTATCAAAATTCTGGGAATGGGAGGATGGGATGTTGAGCATGTCATTCAAGATTGGGTTATTGTATAGTTATTAGATGCCATTGGTTATTCTTCAGTTTTCCATCTTTTAATGCCCTTTTCTCATGACTGACTTAAAGTTTAGTTTCACAGATGCCTGCAACATGCTAATTTCCTTCAGTATATTGTCTTGACAAGAGGCTTTACATTATAGCGAGAGGCTGGATAGGCTGGCACTTCTTTCCCTGGAGTAGAGGATGCTGAGGGGTAAACCTACGGAGGCTTTTAAAATCATGAGGGGCATAGATAAAGTGAATAGCCAATGTCTTTTCCCCCAGGTTAGGAGAGGCCAAGACTAAAAAACTTTAATGTGAGACGGGAATGATTTTAAAGGAACTTGAGGGGCAACTTTTTAACAGAAGGTGGTGCAAGTATGGAATGAACTGTCAGAGAAAGTGGTAGAGATGAGTACAATTACAACATTTAAAAGACATTTGGACAGGTACACGAATAGGAAAGGTTTAGAGGGATAGGAGCCAAATGCAGGTAAATGGAACTAATTCAGTTTAGGAAACCTGATGAGTTGGATCAACGGGTCTGCTCCCATGCTTTTCAATAATGGATTATTTCTTACCTGTCTCAATTGGTATTCATCCACATCGCACTGTTCAACACACCATTTGTTCATTATCATGATTTGGGAGAATTAAGGTTAGGGAAGATTTGGTAATATATGCAATCGTTAGTTACCATCCGTTGATTATGGTTTCCTCTTTGAATCAGTGTGATCTTTGGACTGGGAAGTGTTGTTAAGTAAGCTTGATGCGTTGCTGCAGGGGGACTGATCAAGATGTCAATTTTTTTTTAAATGTTGCTGGTGCTGCCATGAAGTGATCGGTGAGTATTTCAGCACACTTGAACTGCATAGAAGACAGCGAGATGGAGATGTTAGGTGTTGAACCATTCATTGCAGAACAACTATCCTTTGCCTTTTTCCTGTTGATATGGTTTGTCTGATTAAACTTCTGGTCCGTGACTGTGCCTGAGATGTTTTTGTGCGATCCTGGTACTGTTAATATCTGGGTTTGGCAATCGGCCTTTTTCTCATTTGAATTCTAACCATCATGGTTTTTTTTTTTGAAAAAATTGCTTCCCTTCATCCCTGGGTTTTAGATTGTCTGGTTATCCCTCCACAATGCTCCAACTGAAATTCACCAGCTTAGCATCTAGGCTCACCATTACCTTTTGTGTCTTAGGACAACTGGAAATGTATTGAACCACCAACACCCACCCCCCCTCACTCTAACACCCCAACAAATACGCACACATTAGATAATTTTCAACCTATTTTGCACACTCCTTTCCTTTCTTTTACTTTCTTCTTATTGTTGATTATTTAGCGTCTTAATTTTTACATCCAAAAATTTCCTAAATGTTATAATTGCATCCCTTTTAAAGTTGTTCCCCATTGAAAATGTACATAAGACTTATTGGGAACTCTGCAGCCTTCTGGACTCCATATCAAGTTGAACAATTTCAGGGCTTGAGCACCTTCTCCCATGTCCTTACCCTAGTTCCCACAGACCAGTCCTTGTCGTCGCATGGGCTGCTACCAAACACAACCCATTGTCAGCCAATAATAGTCCCCATTAGCAACTATTCATTCTCCCAGGCTGACCTTTTATGCATTCCTTTGCAAGTCCAACTGTTCTTCTCTCTCTTTGGGCTCTATCTCCACCTCCTGTTTACTCCTCCGCAACCATCCCATCTGCGTTTATACCAACAGTTATTTTTTAGCTACAATCAGCTCTGACGAAGGGCCACTGGAATTGAAACATTAACTCTGATTTCTTTCTACAGATGCTGCCAGACCCACTGAGTCTTTCCAGCAATTTTGGTTTTTGTTTCCAATTTCACCATCCACAGTTCTTTCAGTTTTTTTAAAATACAAGACTTATTGTTGAGCTTTCTAATTTTTTTGGGTTTAACTTTTCCTGGAAGTTACGTTGAAAAAAAATGACTTGAGTATTTTCTTGAGTCAAAAATAAGACTGTTTGGAATGAGAAAATGCTCTTCCTGCTTCCAAGCACTGAATGTCTCCATACAAAGAACTGCAGTAGGACAGTATAGTTACACCTTATGATGTGCAAAAGATGAATAATATTGAGAAAAATATTCTGTACCTCTTTGGAATTACAATATATATTGAAATTACTTTATAATCAGAAAGGTGTATGTTACACACACTCCTTAATTACTGCAGGTTTGAACTGCATTGACAAAGCATGTATAATTGATCTGGATAAAGAGGGATCTGCTTTTCTCCATAATGATAAGCCAACAAAGTTGTGCTCATTGATATCCCATTGTTTCACTTTATACTTTGTTCTAATTTTGATAATACATCATTAATTAGAAAGATGATATAAATTAGAAACATTCACTCCTATAGTATGTTAAGGACTAAGTCTAGAAATAATTTGAATGTCATAATTTTTTCAGGATTTTGGAAGTAGCACGATGTTCGCATCTGACGGATGCTGGCTTTACAGTTTTAGCAAGGGTAAGTGTTGTTGGGATACATTCTTTTGGCATCTTGATATTTTTAGGTGAACACTATTGTCTTTGTTTGAGAGATGTACTATTGCCAAAAAAGGAGGCATTGAATTTTTCCCTAGACTTGACAGTTTCCACATCTCAAGTAGAATAGAGGTATATCTGTCATTTTTGCCAGGAATAAATCATAAGGCTAACTTTGAGTTTCTAACATTGTCATGCTGTTGGAAGCATTGCATATGTTCACAAACCAAACCTGAGATCCCAGTTTATTGTTTCCTGTAGCAGTATTACATGCATGATACATTCCCGCATTTACGAGTAGTTGATAAAGAGAATCACAGAATTGTTACAGTACAGAAGGAGGCCGTTTGGCCCATGTCTGCATTGGCACGCTGAGCATTTTGACTTGATGCCATTCTCCTGCCTTTTTTCCCCATACCCTTGCGTGTTATTTCTATATAAAGTCTTTGAATGCCTTAGTTTAATGTGCTGATATCACACTTTTAAGCATCCACACTTCCAGAACCACTAGCTGTGTGAAAATTTTTTAATCACCTCACAGTTGCTTCATTTACAAATCATTTTAAATCTGTATCCCCTTGCTGTTGATCATTGTATGAGCTGGAGCAGTTTCTCTTCATTCATTCTATCCAGAGCACTTGTGATTTTGAATTTTTCTATCAAATCTGCTCTTGACCTTCTCAACAAGGAAACAGTCCCATCTTCTCCAATCTGTATTCATAACTGAAGTTTCTCACTCCTCGATCTGTTCACATAAACCTGTTCTGCACAGTCTCCAATGCATTTAAGGCCTTTCTAAGGCGAAGCCCAAAAACTACACAATACTCCAACTGTGATCTAACTTAGTGTGTTGAACAGGTTCAGCGTAACCACTTTGCTCTTGCAGTATATATCCTATTAATGAAGTCTGGAATGCTGTATGCTTTATTTGCAACCTTTTCTACCTGTCCTGCCACCTTTTAAGGTCTTAGGCACAAATACACTTGTGTTTCTCTGCTCCTGCATAACTCTCAATGCAGAGAGGTGTGAGGTGATACATATTGGAGCATGGAGAGACAGTATATAATAAAGGGTGGAGTCAGAGTTGTATCGCATGGAATCAGACCCTTTGGTCCAACTTGTCCCTTCTGACCAGACATCCTAAATTAATCTAGTCCCATTTGCCAGCATTTGGCCCACATCCTTCTAAATCCTTCCTATTCATCAAGTTGGATCAAAGGGTTTGTTTCCATGCTGCATGACAAAAGGCTTGGAACAACTGAGCTCCAGGTGAAAGCAGAAGATATTGCAGTGGAATTAGGCAGTCTTCATGAGAGAGAATATGTGGGTTTGCAAATTCCACACTGGATTGAATATGCCGCTGAAGTTATTAACAGCTTGGGTTACGCCTGAGCCTAATGGCCAGGGAAGGCTGGAATTAGTGTTAAGGATATAGATACTTGAAAGATGTTTAATGTCATTAAATCCAATTACTGATTGTCAAATTAAGAGTTATTGCTTACAGATGCCCTGTTCAGAAAGTCCCGGACAAAGCTAGGTTAGATGGGCTTCAGATTGGCTTCACAGGTCGGCGCAACATCGAGGGCCGAAGGGCCTGTACTGCGCTGTTATGTGTTATGTTCTATGTTCTATGTTCTATGTTCTAAAGCGGCCTCAACCGGAAAATATGTTTTAATGAAGAGTGCTTCGTTTTGTGGTTGCAATTGGAAAACAGTAGTTCAAGGTCAATTACATTATACCAGCCAAGACTACTTATGTCCTGTTTGTGCAGCACATTCAAAATTATCATGACTGAGTAAAGAGGTTTCTCCTAAATCCTTATTGATTTTATTAGTGACAACGTTTATGTTTGTGACCTTGACATTTGGACTTTGTCAAATGTGAAAATAATTCTCTGCATTCCCTATCTTAACCTTTTTTTGTAATTTTTAAAGACCTCTATTAGAGTGCTCAATCTTTTTTCTTTTCTCCTGGCTAAGAGAGCCCTGATCTATTTAGCTTCCTCTGATGAGTTTATCCTCTTAGTTCTGCTGTTGTCCTTGTTGGGTTGATTTGATTTGATTTATAACTGTCAAATGTGCTGAGATATAGTGAAAAGTATTGTTTTGCTTGCTAATCAGACAAATCTTGCTTTACATATTACATCAGGGTAATAGAACAGAATGCAGATTATAGTGTCCCAGCTACAGAGAAGGTGCAGAGCAAGGTCAACTCTAATATGTGAGAGGTCCGTTCATAAGTCTGATCATGGGGAAAGCTGTTCTTGAATCTGTTGGTACTTTTCTTCAAACGTTTCAATCTTCTGCCCAATGGAAGAGAGTAGAAGAGTATAAATGGGGTGGGAGGGTTCCTTGATTATGTTGACTGCTTTCCCGACACAGCGGAATATGTAGACTAAGTCAGTGGAAGGATGCTTTATTTATCATGGACTGGGCTGTGTTCACAACTCTCTAATTTCTTGTGGTTTTGGGCAGACCATTTGCCATACCAAGCTGTGATGGAATCCGATAGGATGCTTTCTATGGTACATCTATAATCATTGCTAAGAATCATTACGGACGTACCAGATTTCCTCAGTCTTCTGAGAAAGTAGAGGATTTGGTGTGCTTTCTTGACTGTAGCATCTTAAAGCCACAGTGCAACTTTTCCAATGCTTCTAACTTCTTTATATTGTATGAAGAATGTTGCACCTCACCACTTTATCAAGGGTAACTAGGGGTAGCAATAAATGCTGGCCCAGTCCCTTCCTTTGCAGAATAAAATAAAAGGACAAAAGACCAGAACCATTCATAGAGCTCAAAAGTGTGAACAATAGACTATGTTTGACGTAACTTCTCCTTTGCAGTTCAATCCCATAACAAATGTATCCCTTGGTCTTGATCGTGCCTCTGTTTTCCCTGGTGTTACTAACCTGTCAATATATGTTGCAATATGATTTAGTTGAACAATATTAGTGTACATACTACACTTTTTTTTTACATACACTAAGATGTGTATAGTTCAGGAAAATGCATGATTTGCATTGGATGTAGTATTAAAACTATATTTTTTAAATTTTGGTTTAGAATTGTCACGAACTTGAAAAGATGGATCTGGAAGAGTGTATTCTGGTAAGAATTTCTTTTCTGTTAGATGTTTCATTTGTATCTGGTTGCATTTGAGCTATCATTTATAGCAAATATCCTATGCAGCTGCACAAAACTAATCAGCAATTTTTTTTTTTGTTTGTGCAAGATGGTACTGGATGGCAGTAAGGATTACATTTTGTGCTTTAACCTATGGTACATGATTTTCTACTGTTTTAACCCAATTCCTCTAGATATTATCCATGTATATAGTGTTTTCACAATTTCCCACTGAAAGAATCCATCCTGATTAGGGATTTTTGGAACAGAATTTGAGAGGCCCTATGATTGTCCCTCACTGTTTCTCCTTGAAAGCTGTTTATACTGTGGGTGAGTAGCTTTACTTCATTCCATAGCATTGCTGTCCCTAGATAATTGCACTCTTTGCCAAAAAGTTGCTTTTGGAAATTCTTCGAAAGGAAGTTGAAAAATGCAATTCTTGAAATGCAGTTACTATTATGAAACTATGTCAAAATAGTTGTTTCACTTCTTTCCGCATCTAGTGCATAATTCTGCTTTATAGGGAACGATCCCTTTATATAAGGATAGATGTAACATTCTGACTGTATTTGTTCTCGTCACGTTGCTAAATGATAAGTGGATACATATGATACAAAATGCTGTTGGAAAGTTTTGAACGTTTAACAACATGGGTGAACTGTGTTATACACTTTAAAGACCTACAGGTACCATTTTGAAACCACTACTTGTGATGCCTAGTGTGTCTCATTTTCAGTAAACTGTAATATGTCAGCATGTACTTCGTGTTTAATGTGTCACAAGAATGTCAAATGCGTTTGATGTAAAGGCTTTAAAAGAAATTGTAATATCCGACTAGGTTTCTTTAGATGCAAAAATAACTTGCCCTTGCTAATACAGTTAGCTAGTGATTGGATGATTGAGTATTATCAGCTGAAAGGTCAAATGTAACAGTTTACTTGCTTATACTGAACATTAAAGCCGTAACCAGTTTGAGAGCTTTCAGTGTCTTGCCATTGGTTTCTGTTCTTCTTGCTAATCAGCATTTTATATAGTCACATCTATTTGCATCTTCACATTTGCAGCATGGAAATCATAATTTTCTCTCTCCCAAATCACATTGTGTGGGGGCAGTCAGACGTTGCCATGAGGCTTGTCAACTTTTTGACCTCTAAGGGTTAAAACTTGCAAGTAGTTGCCCCTTATTTGTAAAACTTGATGAATACTGACATTCTTCTAGATCCAGTTTTGAAACCTTTTAACCTCAAGGGAGCGGCTGAATAGGCTGGGGCTGTTTTCCCTGGAGCGTTGGAGGCTGAGGGGTGACCTTATAGAAGTTTATAAATCATGAGGGGCATAGATAGGGTGAATAGCCAAGGTCTTTTCCCTATGGTAGGGGAATCCAAAACTAGAGGACATAGTTTTGAGGTGAGAGAGGAAAGATTTAAAAGGGACCTAAGGGGCAACATTTTCACACAGGTTGTGGTATGTGTATGGAATGAGCTGCCAGAAGAAGTGGTGGAGGCTGGTATAATAACAGCCTTTAAAAGGCATCTGGATGGGTAAATGAATAGGAAGGGTTTAGAGGGAAATAGGCTAAATGCTGGCAAATGGGACTAGATGAATTTAGAATATCTGGTTAGAATGGACGAGTTTGACTGAAGAGTCTGTTTTCATGCTGTACAGCTCTATGGCGCTATGACTCCAAGTAATAGAGGAAGAGAATTGAAAATAAAGCTGAGTGCCTATACAGGTGAACACTGGATATGACTGCTACCATGCCATTATGGACTGATAAGTGTCTTGTACCAAAAAGTGCCAGGCAATGACTCTGTCTCCAACTAGAACAGATCCCATAATTTATTCTTGACCTTCATTGTCTTTGCTGAATCACCCACTGTCAGTGCCTTGATAAGCTATAAGTTAGCAGAAGCTGTGAATTTTGCGCCACCCAAGTTAACTCCTAACTCCCTAAAGGCCGTCTACTACTATGAGGCACAAGTCCGGATTGTGATGGAGTACTCTTCACGTGCCTGGGTGTGTTTAGCTGCACTGGTCAAAACCATCTAGGACAGCCAAGAACGATTTGTGATTGGTGTTTATGGGGAGGTGGGGCCAGATTCCAAGAGGTCTAGAGAGTTTAATTTGTTACGGTTCATGTTAGGTGAATCTTGGCAATATTCGGGCATCTGTGTGAGCCCAGCCAACAATGTAAGAAATGGCATAATTTTGGATGCTCTATATCCTGTTTGTTTTTCTGAAGATGATTAATACTCCTTCAGTCCTGTACCTGTGGACTTTTCTCCCCTGCATGTGTTGATTTCACACAGAACACTGCAACTGTCACAGGTGCTGATAGCCTTATCCAAATCACTCTATACCCTGAGCCTAAAAATATGAAATGATCCCATTTTTGCAACCTATAAAGCACTCTCAAAATATTTGGTAGGGGAAAGTAAGCATGCATTAAGTAAGGTTTGTTTCAAACAGGATAATGACAAATTGATGTAGCCAACCGAATGAGTGTTTAAACACAGTTTCATTTCCTTGGTCAATTGCCATAACTTCAGGAAACCTGTGCTGCTCAATTTGAAGCCAGGTCGAAAATAATTTCAAAACACCCCTTGCAATGTTAATTGTGATAATTACCTTCCTAAATTCTATTTGGAGATTTGTGATTTGATAAGCTGGTTTTGTATTGGCATCCAAATGGACTTTCATTTAATTCAGAAGTGAGAGCAGTTGTGTTTCCACTCTGAAAATGAATTCTTTTTAAACTGCACACTGTCCCAACAGACCATTTCATTGTGGTTAAAACTTCCTGGTTTGGCTCTGATAGTAACTACAAGGCATATTTCACATGGAAAACGTAAGTTTGGTTGCTGAGCAGCTGCTGTTAGAAATGGATTTTCAACACCAGTAATCTTGGAGAAGTAAATTTCCATACCAGCAACAGAAAAGTATGGATTTGTAGGCAAAGGAGTGTGAGCTGATTTGTGAGTAAAGGTAAAGAATTTCTGCTTTCTACTAATCTCCAATTTATAGTTAATAGTAAAAGAGTAAGGTTAAAGCAAGTACAGTAACTGAAAAAATGTTAATATATCGCAGTGTAGTTTGGCCAAGTGGACACATCTTGTTACCTAAGCGAACCCATGTACAGGACAGCTACACAAGCTTCAGTTCAGGGTTCCAGTGTGAAAAATGGCCAAAGCTGCACTGAGTTGCATTCATGAAGCAGAGTGTTGTGGATAGCACATTTAGAAAGGCGGACACCATGCGAGTTAGGGCCAAGAGGCAGATGGGGCATGGGTGACTGCCAGGCAGTCCAAGAGAAAAAGGCAAGTACTGCAGGAATCACCAGAGGTCCTGCTCACTAACTGTATTTTTGTTTGGATATTGGTGAGGGAAATGGATCAATAGAGGGTGCAACAAGAGCCAGGGCTTTGGCACTTTGGGAGGCAGAGCTGTGTGTGTGCATGTATATAGAATTAGGAAGTTAATGAAGATGAATGAATGGCTTGGAAAAATGCTGCAGGAAGGAAGTGCTATAGATTCCCAGGACTCTGGACACTGGGTGATTTGGCACCTGTCTAAGCCAGATGGGTTGTATGTGAACAGAGCTGGGATTAAGTACCAGCTAACAGCCCAAAGGAACTGTTTGGGAGAGTTTAAGAATCTCATCATCCTGGTGTGGGAGCCAGGAAAGACTATTATAAAGTAGAAGCTATGTGTAGGAAATGCTGGGAGCGACAGGTAGCGCTAAAATAGAAATTTAGTATGAACACAGTAGGTCAGGCAGCATCAGAGTCGACATTTTGGGTTTACACCCTTGATAAGGACTGCTCCTCTGCTGCCTGACCTGCAGTGTTCCTCCAGCTCCACACTGTATTGACTCTGGCTTCAGCATCTGCAGTTCTTGCTATCAATCACAGACGCCTTGGTTGAGGAGAATATTGGAGACCAGGATGTTTCAGATGGGTCAAGGACAGATTAGATATAGCTAGAGCTAAGGGATAAGAAGGGTGCAATTACATTGCTTGCTTTAGTCTATACGTTCGCAACAAGCGGGAAGGATGTAGAAGAATAAGGAAATTGCAGAGAGGTGTATCAAAGTAATTTTAATGGGAGACTTCAATTACCCGCATATAGACTGGGATAATGGCAGTGTAGTGGGGTAGTGACGGTCAGATGTTCCAAATTCTGTTCAGGAGAATTTTGTATAGGAGTGTGTGTCCAGCCCAACAAGAAAGGCACTGATAGATGTAGTTTTTGGAAATGAAGTGAAATGAGCAAATCAAGTAAAATTGGTTACCCCATTAGGTTTAGGATGACAGTGAAAAATCAAATTGGTCAATCCAGAGTAAGAATGGTAAACTGGCAGACAGCAGACTTCAATGGGGCAAGACTGAAGCTTGGCCTAATAGGCTGGAACCAAATTGTTGGCCAGTGAAACAGCAGCTGAATAATCCTTTCAAAGAGGCAATCGGGCACAGTCAAGGTATATTCCTTCAAAAGGAAACATAGGGCAAATAATTACCGTGTTCCAGGATGATAGAAGAGATGGAAAGGAAATAAAGTGTACTTATGACAGGTGTCGGGTGATACAGACGCCTAGAACCAAGCTGAATACAGAAGGTTTCGAAGGGGGGTGAAAAACAAATAAGAGCAGCAAAGATGGATTGTGGAAGAAAAAACTGGCAGCTATCATACAATGAATCTCAAAGTCTTCTATAAGCACAACAATTGTAAAAAGATGACCGAAAAGCTGGTGAAGTGGGTGAATAGATGGAATTTCATTGTAGAGAACTACAGGGTATGATACATTTTGGTACAAAACATAGAGAGTCAGCCTGAAATAGAAGGTACTGTTATAGTGTGCAGGAGCAGGGGGACTTGGGAGTATGTGTGCGTACATCATGAAAAATGGCTTGTCCAGCTTGTCAATGTCTTTTGGAAATTTTGCACTGTCCTCAGTACAGCTCTCCAAGTTTTGTATCATTTATGCA